CCCCCCCAGTTCAACCCTGTGCTACCTTCCCTTCCCGTCCATTATTTTGCACCATCCGATGCTTACTCCCATTCCCCATTTATCCAGACCAGCGTTGCGTTTTCCTTGGAAATCATTGCTCATTACGGTGTATCTTTTCAACAGAGGTTGAAAGAGGAGGCAGACAGGATCCAACAGGAATACGGCTACTGCGTCATCGATGGCCATCGGGAGAAGATCGGCAACTTCAAGACCGAGCCGCCAGGCCTATTCCGGGGCCGAGGGGATCACCCCAAAATGGGGATGCTGAAGAAGAGGATCATGCCGGAAGACATCGTCATCAATTGTAGCCAGTGGGTCTCCAATTGCGTAACGAGGTCTTGTCTATGGCCGTGTTTCTCAACCTTGGCAATTTTTAGGGTGGGTGGACTTCAACTCCCAGAATTCTCCAGCTGGCAGGCTTTAAGATGGACAGGGAGGGGACTTGAATGTTCTCACCTCCCCTATCCTCCTCATTTAAACGTTCTGTTCGGGCTTTGTTTTGCTAATTGAAAGAGAGCCAGTTGGGTATAGTGGTTAAGGCGCCAGGCTAGAAACTAGGAGATGGTGAGTTCTAGTCCTGCCTTCGGCCTGAAAGCCGGCTGGGTGACTTTGGGCCAATCGCCAGGAGACTGGGAGTTCTAGTCCCGCCTTAGGCCTGAAAGCCGGCTGGGTGACTTTGGTTCAATCCCCAGGAGACTGGGAGTTCTAGTCCCGCCTTAGGCCTGAAAGCCGGCTGGGTGACTTTGGTTCAATCCCCAGAAGACTGGGAGTTCTAGTCCCGCCTTAGGCCTGAAAGCCGGCTGGGTGACTTTGGGCCAATCGCCAGGAGACTGGGAGTTCTAATCCTGCCTTAGGCATGAAAGCTGGCTGGGTGACTTTAGGCCAATCGCCAGGAGACTCGAGTTCTAGTCCCGCCTTAAGCCTGAAAGCTGGCTGGGTGATCCAATTACCAACAAAGGGTGAAGAGATTTTATGGAAGAGCAATTCTCTTGGTGTCCTACTTTAAAAGTTTTAAACTTTTAAAACTCCCTCCTGTTCCCCCCCCCCTTTTTTTTCTTTTTTTCTTCCTTCTCCCTCCCTCCCAGAGATTCAAAGGTGCCCCGGCCTCCGCGAGGTCACAAGTGGAAAGAAGTCAGGTGCGACAAGACAGTCACCTGGTTGGCCTCCTGGACGGAGAACATCCAGGGCTCCATCAAGTACATCATGTTGAACCCGAGTTCCAGGCTGAAGGTGAAGTTCCTCATCCCTCTCATCCCTTAGAGAGCTGAATGCCAGGAAATCTCATTTTAATGTCTGCTGATTAGTGTGCGATTAAAGTGGCAATGAAGTTGTTCTGTTCTGTTCTGTTCCATTCCATATTTTCAATTCTATTCTTCTCTCTTTCTCTGTTCCTCTCTCTCTCTCCTCTGTCTCTCTTCTTTCTATTTCTCTCTTTTTTTCTGTGTCTATTTCTCTCTCCCCCAGGCTCTCTCTTTTTCTTTCTCCTTTCTCTCTCTTTCTGTGTCTATTTTTCTCTCTCCTAGTCTCTCTCTTTCTTTCTCTCTCTCTTCCCCTTTTTATCTCTCTCTTTTTCTGTGTCTATTTCTTCTCTTCCAGTCTCTTTCTCTTTCTTTCTTTCTCTCTCCTCCTTTCTCTCTCTCTCTCTTTTTCTGTGTCTATTTTTCTCTCTCCCAGTCTCTCTCTTTCTCTTTCTCTCTCTCTCCCCCTTTTTATCTCTCTCTTTTTCTGTGTCTATTTCTTCTCTTCCAGTCTCTCTCTTTCTCTTTCTCTCTCCCCTTTCTCTTTATTTTTCTGTGTTTATTTCTCTCTCTCCCAGCCTCTCTCTCTCTTTCACCCTCTTTCTTTCTCTCTCTTTCTTTTTCTGTGTCTATTTCTCTCTCTCCCAGTCTCTCTCTCTCTCTTTCCCCCTCTTTCTTTCTATCTCTCTCTTCCTTTTCTGTGTCTATTTCTCTCTTTCCCAGTCTTTCTCTTTCTCTTTCTTGCGCTCTCCTCCTTTCTCTCTCTCTTTTTCTGTGTCTATTTTTCTCTCCTAGTCTCTCTCTCTTTTTCTTTCTTTCTCTCTCCCCCTTTCTATCTCTCTCTTTTTCTGTGTCTATTTCTCTCTCTCCTAGTCTCTCTTTCTCTTTCTTTCTCTCTCTCTACCCCTTTCTATCTCTCTCTTTTTCTGTCTATTTCTCTCTCTCCCAGTCTTTCTCTTTCTCTTTCTTTCTCTCTCTCCCCTCTTTCTCTCTCTCTCTTTTTCTGTGTCTATTTCTCTCTCTCCTAGTCTCTCTCTCTTTTTCTCTTTCTTTCTCTCTCTCTCTCCCCCTTTCTATCTCTCTCTTTTTCTGTGTCTATTTCTTTCTCTCCTAGTCTCTCTCTTTCTCTTTCTTTCTCTCTCTCTACCCCTTTCTATCTCTCTCTTTTTCTGTGTCTATTTCTCTCTCTCCTAGTCTCTCTCTCTTTTTCTCTTTCTTTCTCTCTCCCTCCCCCTTTTTATCTCTCTCTTTTTCTGTCTATTTCTCTCTCTCCCAGTCTCTCTCTTTCTCTTTCTCTCCCCCCTTTCTCTCTCTTTCTTTTTCTGTGTTTATTTCTCTCTCTCCCAGTCTCTTTCTCTCTCTTTCCCCCTCTTTCTATCTCTCTCTCTTTCTTTTTCTGTGTCTCTCTCTCTCCCAGTCTCTCTTTCTCTTTCTTTCTCTCTCTCTCTTTCCCCCTCTTTCTGTCTCTCTGTCTCTCTCTCTGTCTGTCTCTCTCTCTCTCACACACACACACCAGTCAGACAGACAGACAGACAAACAGAGGACTTTGCAAAACTGCTAATCTTGCAACAGTCCCCTTTTCTTCCAGGGGGAGAAAGACTGGCAGAAATACGAGGTGGCTCGTCGCTTGAAGAAGGTGGTCCACCGGATCCGCTGCCAGTACCGGGCCGACTGGAAGTCCAAGGAGCCGAAGAAGCGACAAATCTCCGTCGCGCTCTATTTCATCGATAAGGTGAGAAGGGGTTTATCGCCGTCCAAATGGCTGGGATCCTTCCCCGCATCTCTTCCCAAGGATCCCGCAGGATCCTTGGGAAGAGGTCAGGCACCTATGTGAAAAACTTGAGTTCTGGCGAGTCCCTTTTCTTGGGGAAAAACTGACCCTCTGGCTGAAAACATCCTTCTTTGGCCCCTCGCAGCTGGCCCTGAGGACGGGGAACGAGAAGGAGGAAGGGGAGACGGCCGACACGGTGGGCTGCTGCTCTTTGCGAGTGGAGCACGTCGCGCTGCACCCGCGGCAGGGCGGCAAGGAGAACGTGGTGGAGTTTGACTTCCTGGGCAAGGACTGCATCCGCTACTACAACAAGGTGCCCGTGGAGAAGCAGGTGAGCTAGGAGGTGGCCCTATCCAACCGGGCGCTTCGCCCTGAGAGTTTAGGCTAGCTGGCCTTTCCCAGTCTGGGATCTGGTGATAATGGAAATTGTAGTTCCGAAACACCTGGAAGAAACCCGTTGGAGAAATCTCCCGGAAAATCAGTGAATTAGTGGAACAGAAGTTGCCACCAGAAGGTGTGGGTGCTCCATCCCTGGAGGTTTTTAAGAAGAGACTGGACAGCCACTTGTCTGGAATGGTCTAGATCAGGGGTAGTCAACCTTGGCTCTTTTATGACTCGTGGACTTCAACTCCCAGAATTCCTGAGCCAGCTAAGCTGGCTCAGGAATTCTGGGAATTGAAGTCCACGAGTCATAAAAGAGCCAACGTTGACTACCCCTGGTCTAGATTCTCCTGCTTGAGCAGGGGGTTGGACTAGAAGACCTCCCAAGGTCCCTTCCAACCCTGTGGTTCTATGTTGTATAAGCCCTTGAAAAGGTTTGTAAGACTAGAATTACGAACATCTTAGAATGTGCAGAAATGGACAGATTGACTTTAGAGATTTAAAGAGAAAGAAGATTCAGTTTATTTCAAAACATGGGAAAATTTTTTATGAATGGTTAGCAATGGTTAGCCTGTTCACCGCCCTGAGTCCCGCAAGGGAGATAGGGCGGTATATAAATTTAATAAATAAATAAATAATAATAAATAATAATACGATAGAACGAGAAAGGACGGTGAAGTTTGGATGAATGATATTTATTAACTAAGCTTTACTTTTATGATTATTCTCATTATTAGTGATTGTAACTGTTTTGTATTATATTAATTACTGTCATTTAATATTTGTACCCGGACGATAAGTCTGCTTGCTAAAGCGTTGAATTTTTTGCTGGGGGTCACCCCACGACTGTACCTACCCCTACCCTTATCCCAACCCCATCCACTAACCCCATCCAATATCCATACCGATCTAATAATAATAATAATAATAATAATAATAATAATAATAATAATAATAATAATAATAATAATAATTTGCTATTAGTCAATTGCAAAAGGTGGTCTTACTAGGAACTGCTTCCATCCTGCGACGATATCTGTAATACCATCAAACATCCACATCTGCCTATCCCAGGTCCTTGGGAAGGACTCGATAGGTAGACAAAATGCCAAATCCAGTCTGAACATCTGGCTGACTGTACGATGATTCATAATAATAATAATAATAATAATAATAATAATAATAATAATAATAATAATAATAATAATAATAATAATAATAGTAAAGTTGGAAGGGACCTTGGAGGTCATCTAGTCCAACCCCCTACCCTTATAAAACTCAATAAAACATTTAATAAAAAAAGAAAGAAAGGGTTTGTAAGACAGATACAGCTTCTAAGATGACAACTCCCCCATTAGGGATGATATGATAGCAATTGTCCAAATATTTGAGGGGCTGCCCCAAGGAAGAGTGGGGAGGGTCAACTTATTCTCCAAAGTGCCTGAAGGCAGGACAAGAAGCAACGGATGGAAACTGATCAAGGAGAGAAGCAACCTAAAACTAAGGAGAAACTTCCTGACAGTGGAAACAATTAACCAGTGGAACAGCTTGCCACCAGAAATTGTGGGTGCTCCATCACTGGAGATTTTTAAGAGAATGGACAGCCGTTTATCCGAGTTGGTATAGGGCAGGGGTAGGCAACTTTGGCTCTCCCAACAATTGATGACCTCGGATCTTCTCTCTTAGCCCAGGTCTCTCTTTCAGATCTTTGTAGGTCTGATGCTGCATCCACCGCGGTGTTTTAGACGCGGTCAAATTCTTTTGAGGGTCTTACTTGTGAGATCTGTCTTTGCTGCAGGTGTTCAAGAACTTGGCGTTGTTCATGGAGGATAAAGAACCTGGAGACAATCTGTTTGAAAAGCTCTCTGTAAGTGCACGGTGACCTTGAATTTTATACTCCCTTTTTGTCTTCCATGTTTTCTTTTTTCTTTCTTTTTTTTTTTATAAATTTTTATTAATAATACAAAGTTAAAAACACATTGGACATAGATATGACGTCACTGGTTCCATACATCTTCCGACATTTTACAGTAGTATTGGTACTCATATAAACATATAGTTCTTGAGCTTTGCTCACTATCTTCTATCTTCTATATCTATATTCTATATATCTATATCTATAAATAAAAATGTAAATCGTTTGTTCAAAATCTTAAATCTCCGAAAGTTCTTCACCGATTGCTTTGAAATTTTGACACAACGTTGCATTCGAATACGCGCGTGTTTTTATATACCTACTATTATATAGATGCCACACCTGTGACAGGTAAAAACATGCTTTTTTTGAAAAACAGCGCCATCCGTTGGACGTAAAAGCAACACACGCTACGATTTTACCATTCCATTTCAATGTTTCCGATTTATGATCCATTTACGATTTCCAAATTTCCAATTTTACGATTCCATTTCAATGTTTCCGATTGCATTGTTCAATAGAATTTTCATAGATTTTGATTTATTTTCATTTTGATTTAATTATTTCGCGTGACATTGCGTTGGAATTGATGCACAGACAATGGAACAACAAAAAATATTGTATACCCACAAGCATTGTGAAATTAAACATATTAGAAACGTGCACCTTCTCTTTTCTTTCTTTTCCATTTAACCAGACTGAGCCACAGCAACGCGTGGCCGGATACAGTTAGTTTATAATATAATGTTAACACTTTTTCCCTTATTTCTGTATATCTATTTATCTTTTAAATAAACATTTGTCTATAATCTATATTTTATTCTAACACTATACATTTGTCTTGGCTANCCTCTTATTGTCTATCCAATCATAAAATTGTTCCCAGATTTTGTAGTACTTAGTTTCACTTTTATCCTTGAGTTCCCATGTAAGTCTATCCATTTCAGCGCAATTGAAAATTTTCAGTAATATTTCCTCTTCGGTTGGAGTATCTTTCTCTTTCCATTTTTGAATGAAGGCTATTCGTGCCGCTGTTACTATATGCAGTAGTAAATAATTTGTATCTTTCTTATATTTTCTTTCTATAATTCCCAATTAAAAAAAATAATCCGGTGTGGCCTCTATATCTATTAGCAAAATTTCTTCCAGCCATTTCTTTAATAAGTTCCAAAATTTTTGTGCCTTTGGGCATTGCCACCACATGGGGTAGTAATTCCCAACGGTCTCTCCACACTTCCAGCATATCGGGTTTTCCCCCTTGTTCATTCGTGCTAATCTTGTGGGAGGGAGGTGCCACCTATAAAACATCTTATAGAGGTTTTCCTTGTAGGAGGTTGCTAGAGTAATTTTTAGGTTTTTTTCCCCATAAACTTCTTCCATGTTTTCTTACTGAGAGTATAGTGGTATTCTAGTCTCTCACTAGGTTTGAGGCAGAGTGGGAGGTGGGGATGGAGGTCCATCACTAATCCAGGACACGGTGGTGCGAAATTACGTGATGACTCAGTTTGCGTAAGCAAGTGTGGATCTAATTCAGAGTCCCAAGGGTGCTGTTTTTTTCAAGAGGCAACTGGACTGTCTTGTCTTTTATTTGAAGATGTTTCGCTTTCCATTCAAGAAGCTTCTTCAGCTCTGACTGGATGGTGGGGACTGGAGATTATTGGGGATCTAGTGTATGTAATTTGGGGTTCTGCGGTGGAAGAAGATAAAGATTCAATATAATAATAATAATAACAACAACAACAACAACAATAATAATAATAAAGTTGGAAGGGACCTTGGAGGTCATCGAGTCCAACCCCCTGCTCAGGCAGGAACCCTACACCATTACAGACAAATGGCTGTCCAGTTTCTTCTTAAAAACTTCCAGTGTTGGAGCATTCACAGCTTCTGGAGGCAGGTTGTTCCACTGGTTAATTGTTCTTACTGTCAGGAAGTTTCTCCTTAGTTCTAAGTTGCTTCTCTCCTTAATGAGTTTCCATCCGTTGCTTCTTGTCCTGCCTTCAGGGGCTTTGGAGAAGAGCTTGACTCCCTCTTCTTTGGGGCAGCCCCTGAGATATTGGAACACTGCTATCCTGTCCCCCCTCGTCCTTCTCTTCGTTAAACTAGACATACCCAATTCCAGCAACCGTTCCTTATATGTTTTAGCCTCCGGTCCCCTAATCATCTTTGTTGCTCTTCTCTGTACTCTTTCTAGAGTACAGTATCTTTCTCTAGAGTACAGTATCTTTCTCTCAGTATCTTTTTTACATCGTGGTGACCAAAACTGAATGCAGTATTCCAAGTGTGGCCTTACTAAGGCATTGTAAAGTGGTATTATGTAGGGTAGTTTTTTTGGGATATCTTCCATTTGCATTTCAATTCAGGTCTCCTGGTCTCCTGATCTCCAGACTTGGGAACTTTAAGACTTGTGGACTTGTAACTCCCAGAATTCCCCAGCCAGCCATTCCAAGTCTTAAAAGTTGCCAAGTTTGGAGACCCCTGTCCTAGACTATATGGCAGAAGTAGCTTTCGTTACCATCACAAAACTCATAGCTTGCTTTCTCCTGGACTAAAGATGATGGGAAGTGGATTAGTCCCAAACCTAAGCTAGCTTTTAGGGAGAAAGGAATTACTTTTGAGTTGCAGGAAACATCGGGGTATTCCTGAGTTAAATTCCTACCTGTATCTTCCCGAAATTGAGGGTCAACTCCAAGCTTTTACCTAGGGGCGCTATTCTTCCTGCTCTTCTCCTCTAACTTTACTCCCCCACTTGGCTTTCCAGACAGCAACGCTGAACAAACATCTCCAGGACCTGATGGATGGGTTGACGGCAAAGGTCTTCCGGACTTACAACGCGTCCATCACGCTGCAGGAGCAGCTCGACGCCCTGACCCATGGTAAACCAAATTGGGCCCACCGCTTTCCAAGCTCTTCTGCTTTGGGGCCTTTGTTAAGCCCAGCAGAATTTTTCAGCACCTCTGAAGAATTTTTGAAGGGACATATTTGGGGGTTGGAGCAGAGAAATGGATTCGCATTCCAAGCGGTAACAAGACACGGTGGCTTAATGAAGCTGGAAAAGGGTTTTGCTCCGGCAGTTTGAGTCCTAGCCCTGCATGGCAGGGCGAGCTCCCGTCACTCGCTCCAGCTGCTGCCCACCTAGCTGTTCGAAAGCGCATGTTCTATGCGAGTAAATAAATAGGTACCACTTCAGTGAGGAGACGCGTTGGTGCTCTGTGCAGGCAGTCGGATGCTTGTCGGCTTTGAACCTTCCCAGTTGCGACGCCCATTTGTGAAGTGACTCTGATGGAGGGAGGTGGCCTAGGACAGGGGTCCCCAACCCCCAGTCTGTGGGCCGGTCCCGGTCCCTGGTGTCCAACAAGGTTGGGGACCTCTGGCCTAGGATGACGTTACGGGAAGAGCCACTTGTCTTCCTGGTGTGAGGAGGAAGGAGGAGGAGGAGGAGGAGGAAAACTGAGGTCCTTGACGCTCTCTGAGCTTGGCTGTTTTTTTGCAGACATTTCATGATCCAACTAGGTAACATCATCAGTGTTAGATGGGAGTGGGGTTTGTGGAGAGGAAGAAGGAGGGAGGAGGAGGAGGAGGAGGAGGAGGAGGAGGAGGGGGGAAACTGTGGGGTCCTTGATGCTCTCTGAGCTTTATTGTTTTCTTGCAGACATTTCATGATCCAACTAAATAACATCATCAGTGTTAGAAGGGAGTGGGATTTGTAGAGAGGAGGAGGAGGAGGAGGAGGAGGAGGAGGAGGAGGAGGAGGAGG